TTGGTTGCCTCCCTCTCCCTCCCGTGACACATCTCCTCTCCCGTAGGTGCTCGGCAAAGCCCTGCAGGATTGCCACGCTCCTCCATCACCACCACGCCGTTGTGCTGCTACTGGATGGAGTCTTCCTCAACCTCTCCCTCTCTCCTTGCTGGATCAAGGCGTGGGAGACATCGTCGAGCTGTACGTGTGTTGAACGCGGAGGTGCCGTCCGTTCGGCACTAGGATCATCGGTGATCTGAATCACGACGAGTACGACTCCATCAACCCCGTTCACTTGAACGCTTCCGCTTAGCGATCTACAAGGGTATGTAGATGCACTCCTCTTTCTACTCGTTGCTGGTCTCTCCATAGATAGATCTTGGTGATACGTAGGAAATTTTTTGAATTTCTGCTACGTTCCCCAACAGCGGTTCGCCGGCGACAGGGAGGGAGAGGACGACGAGGGACGAGGGGGCCGGAGGAGGATGGATCCATGGGCTCCTGGCCAAATCGGGCCGGAGCCGTGGTCGGTGCGGTGATGCAGGATGGTGGAAGCGCGGGCGGCGGAGCCTGCCGGCGGGTGGCATCCGGCGATCGTGGAGGAGCTCCGACCGGGGAGGCACTGCATGGCGGCGAGGAAGACGAACGGCGGCGGCCGGGTGTGCGGGGCGGCGCGGGGGCGTGGTGCGCAGGCGGCAGAGATGGCGCGCGAGGCGGCGGGGATGGCGCCGGATTCGAAGCGCGGCGGGGTCCGGTGGGTTGACCGACGGCGGCGGGCGGTGGTCTGAGGCGCTCTGGCGAGTTGCTTGCCAGCGGCGACCGGAGACGAAGGCGGCGCGAGATCCGGGCAGCTCGGGTGGTTCGGGCCAGCCGCGGCCCGGAGCGGGCCGGAGATGGGCTCGCGGGCCCACGCGGTGGAGGAGGATGGCGGCGACACTTGGCAACGTGCGGTTGGTTGAGGAGGCGGCGGTGATGACGTGGCGAGCCCTGATTGGCTGAAACATGTGGCAGCGGCGGTGGACATGTCCGGCCGTCGGTGGACGTGTCCGGCGGCGCGGAGGGAGTTGGATCTAGGGTTTCATCTGCGCGAAAATTTCGGGGGGAGTCACATATTTATAGGTAGAGGGAGCTAGGAGAGTCCAAATGAGGTGCGGTTTTCGGCCACGCGATCATGATCGAACGAGCGAGAGGATGGAGCAGGTTTGGATGGGTTTTGGGTCACTTTGGAGGGGTGTTGGGCTGCAACACACACGAGGCCTTTACGGTTCCTCAGTTAACCGTTGGAGTATCAAACGGACTCCAAATGGTACGAAACTTTACAGGCGGTCTACCGGTGGTATACCAAGGCCGATTGGCAAATCTCGGTCCAATCCGAGAACGTTTAACAACCTCACACGATAAAGAGACAAAAGGGGGCGCAGAGGACATAGGAGTGCCGGACTGCAAAACGGATAACGGGGAAAATGCTCGGATGCATGAGACGAACATGTATGCAAATACGATGCACATGATGACATGATATGAAATGCATGACACGCAAAAAATGACAAGGCAACAACAGTGAATAACTGGAAGACACCTGGCGCAACGGTCTTGGGGCATTACACGTGCCAAAGATGTCAGAGTCCTGGAACCCCAGCGTCGACTTCGCTGACGCGCTTGAGAGCTTGTCGGACGGTACTGACCTCGCGGCGCTCGAAGAGCGTATCGAGCCCATCATCATCTACGTCGACGGAGTCAAGAGGGTGGAGGACCAGTGCCGGGACTAGCCACCCCGTTCTTCCTTGCCGCCGCGAGTTCATGCCCAAGACAATTTATCTTAAGTTAGAACCGCGGCAACCACTAATGTAATATAACTCTGCAGTACTTTGAAATGAAGCATGCTATCTTCCTGTTCGATCTTTCCTTGTATGTACACACCCTACCTCTAGTTGGATAGGTTTGCCAGCGCGTAAACCCATGTTGTGGCGCTTTGAGGAACGGATCCTTAGCAGCCTGCTGGGGGGCGCTTGCTGGCGGGCAAATCACCTTGCCGTTCTCGGCACAGCCGCCTGATCTGTTGAGCGGACTCAAAACAGAACAAGGGCGTTGCCAATAGCGGAAGGGTTCCTTTGCGTGCAAGTTTTCCATACAAGGAGCAAGATCTTTCGAGGAAGATAACCTTATAAAAAGGAAAATTGCTCAAGGCTTTATGTGACTTAGCTTTTCGTCACCACGCGGATGGTTGTTGCTGCTGCCGACAGCACCGCCTCGCCTAGCTGATGGCACCAGAGCGTGGCTGATCGATGTCGCCTTCTTCTCTCAGTCCATCGCGACGAAGGAGTCGATGAGTTGGCTTCAAAACCGGATTGTCACAGCCTCAGCGCCCCTACCTGGCGCGCCAAAGATGTCGGGGTTCAGGAACGACACCTATGGGATCCCTCGATGAAGTCCCTTCTACGGTTGGTGGGGCATGGGGTTGCGCAAAGAGCGGGTCTAGAAGATAAACTCAGTGGGATTTTTACCCAGGTTCGGCCCGCAAATGATGCGTAAAACCCTAGTCCTGCTTTTTGTGTATTTTGTGTTCTTGAGCTCTTGAACTAGTTGCGGTGCATGCCTAGTCCAAAAAGTCTGAATCCTTCCTCAGTACGCCTCGTGCCTCCTTTTATATGTCGAAGGGGTTGCCACAGTCGCACACAGGAGGTGGAAAGTACGTATAATGTACAAGTTTATCTCCTGACATCCTAGGACAAACGCATTTAATGCGCTGCCTATGTGTCCTCTTGTTTTATCGGGGACGGCAAAGAAGCTCGTCCCGTCCGTCGCCGCCTCGCCTTGCTTCGACGCGCGTCCAAGGTGACGAGGCATGCAGCGCCAAGCTGACTGGCTGGCTGCTGAGCTGGTGCGGTGGCAGGGTCTTCACGAAGATCTACATGCCACCACGCAGGTGCTTGGCTGGTTGGCCTAGAGGCCGCATGCTGCCACGTAGGTGCGTGCCTAGTTGGTAGGCTGGTTGCCACGTTGGAACGGGCGCGGGGCAGCGAAGATTTGGCAAGAGCGGGCCTGGCCTAGGCCCCGCAGACGCCCCTGGTAAAGGCCTTGCCAGGATCTCGTGGGCGTCCCCGGCAAGGGTCTTGCCGGGAGGCTTGCGGGCATCCCCGGCAAGGATCTTGCCAGGGGGTCTTCGTCTTCTGGTGCCCATCTAGGCTTGCAGGCCTTTGGTTTTCATCAAGATCTGCATGCCACCATGCAGGCGCTTCTGAGCCTTGGTCTTGACGTTGTCGATGACGTCATAACTCTCAGGCTCAAGGATGGCAGTCTTGCTGGTGTTGGGCAAGTTGCCCCGGCAAGGCTCTTGCCGGGGCTACGTAGGCCGCCCCGACAAGGCTCTTGCCGGGGAAAGCCCATCTTGTCCCTTCGCTCTTCATGCTTCTGGCTTGGGTGTTGTCTTGGCAGTCTTTTATCTTTGCTTCCTCTGCCCTGCCAAGCCCGACCGCAGGTGTAGCTACGACTGCCCATGCACAAGTAAAGAGATACAGAAGGGCTCCTACTTTTGTACACTTACAGTGTGGCAAACACTAAGGAGTGTTTCGGATTGTCGAAAAGTTTGATCCTAGAATCGCATTCATGGAAGTTGTGGCAAAACAATCCGTGCTTCAAAAATGCTACTTTCAAATCCATTTTGGAGCTTTGTTGTTTTTTCGACTTTCAAAAATGTGATTTTATGATGAAATTTTGTAAGCATTTCAAACATTTTTAATGTTTGCCACCAAATAAATTCAAATTTTTTAAAGAAATTACTGTTCATATCATGAGCATTGGAACTCCGAGCTTACTTTCATGATCTAACAAGGTAAGCTTTCTGCTAGCCTAGCCTTATTTGTTTAATCCACAAATCATAAAAATTAGATCCAATTGTATACCATATAATAATATTTCAAAAGATACAGAAGAACATCTTGACCATCCCCCCGCGAAAGTCCACGGGATAAAAGACAACAAATGCAAAGTTGCACACCCTGCTACCTTTTCTCTCGTCTCTCTCTCCTGTCCCCTCCTAGAGAGAGAGAGGAAAACTCTCTCTCTCTCTCTAGAGTACTACCTGTTGCATAGTCTACTGGTGGAAGGGAACACCTGTAGTGTGTGCGCGTGTTGCAGATGATCGATCATGTCCCTCTGTCACGGAAGCCGCTGGGGCAGCAGCAAGCTCAGAAGATGCCGCGGCCACCTCCGCCTCCGCGCTGCTATTAAGCCGCCCGAGCCATGCGCTGCGCCCACCACCTGCTACTGCTGCTGACGCCATGCTCGACCCGCCCGAGCCCGACGATGACGCCGCCCGACCGCCGCGCGCACCGGTCGCCGCCGCCTCGCCGAGAGGCCTCGTCCTCGCGTGCGCCGACCTGCTGCACCGCGGGGACCTCGACGGGGCGCGGCGCGCCGCGGGCGCCGTGCTCTCCGGTGCCGACCCCCGGGGAGACGCGGCCGACCGCCTCGCGCACCACTTCGCGCGCGCGCTCGCTCTACGGGCCGACGAGGGACGAAGTAGCGTTGGCCCGCTGGGCGTGGGCGTGGCGCCTGCATCGTCCGCGGTGCACCTGGCGTACAACAAGATCGCGCCGTTCCTGCGCTTCGCGCACCTGACTGCCAACCAGGCGATCCTGGAGGCCGCTGCCGGCGCGCGGCGCGTGCACATCGTGGACCTCGACGCCGCACACGGCGTGCAGTGGCCGCCGCTCCTTCAGGCCATCGGCGACCGCGCTGACGCCGCCGTCGGCCCGCCCGAGGTCAGGATCACCGGCGCCGGCCCCGACCTCGATGTGCTCCTTCGCACCGGCGACCGCCTCCGCGCCTTCGCCAGCTCCCTCAACCTCCCATTCCGCTTCCACCCGCTGCTCCTCCCCTGCACGGCTCAGCTTGCCGCCGACCCGGCCGCCTGCCTTGAGCTGCACCCGGACGAGACTCTGGCCGTCAACTGCGTGCTATTCCTCCACAGGCTCTCCGGCGACGGTGAGCTCACCGCATTCTTGAGGTGGGTCCGTTCGATGAACCCCGCCGTGGTGACCATCGCCGAGAGGGAAGGCGAAGCCGGCCGAGGAGAGGACGACGACGAGTTACCGCGGCGGGTGGCCGCGGCGATGGACTTCTACTCGGCGGTGTTCGACGCGCTGGAGGCCACGATGCCGCCGGGCAGCGCGGAACGGTTGGCGGTGGAGCAGGAGATCCTCGGCACGGAGATCGACGCGGTGGTGGCTGGCCCCGGCAGCGGCGGTGGGCGGCCCCGCAGCTTCGAAGCGTGGACGGCCGCCGCGCGCGCTGCGGGGCTCTCGCCGTGGCCGGCCAGCACGTTCGCGGTGTCGCAGGCGCGGCTGTTGCTGCGGCTACACTACCCGTCGGAGGGGTATGCGGCGGAGGAGGCCCGCGGCGCGTGCTTCCTCGGCTGGCAGACGCGGACGCTCATGTCGGTCTCTTCGTGGCACTAGCAATGCAAGTGATCTATCCATGCTGCTCGACCTCTCGCGTCCTCCATTGATGGATTCTTGCTCCCAAGCTGGCTACTGCATCGCATTGCCGCAATGAAGTATATGGAACCTGATCGAGCAAGCCGGAGGCCGGCAGCAAGAAGATCGGTGCTTGATCTTGCGGCTGCTCAAATGGCTTCGGTGAGGTTTCGGAGGGACTGGAGAATGGGGATGTGCATGCATGCAAGGACCAGGGCTACTATACTTGCCATTCTTGTTGGAGGGACAAGAGAAGGGGAGGTCGACGAAGGCGAAGACGAATTGAAGAAGAGGAGGTTGTGCATGATCGGTGGACGCGTTGCATGGGAACTGGAGAGGGCGCCAATCGCCATTGGGAGATCTCGGAGAGGATCTTTTGGCACTCGACCTGGTAAACCTTCTACCACCACTAACTAATACTTTCAGTTATTTCTTCTTTGCTTTACATCTTCATCTATCTCTATTTGCTTCCACTTTATTGTTTGTTCAACTTCCCCTCTCCAATCTATATTGGTGGAGTTGCTATAGATTGCTAATTACTACTTCAAATATATTCTAGAGTGGATGGTGTTTCCGAATTTGTACCGTCTCCACTGAACAAATTTGACCACTATTTTTGTATGAATATTGAAGCAGATCATTTTTAAAATATCATGAAATTACTTTTCATGAAAAATCCAATGGTACATCTTTTTATCTAAAAAGTCTGTTTTTTCTTATTAGTTAATTTGTGATTGAATATATATAAACTTGTCTCCACACTTTCTAGGACGCGATGTACTTTTAATTTTAAATGGATGTATTATTACAATTTTGATCCATATCTGGATTAATTCTCACTTTTGTGATGCTACTAACTAAAGAGATATGCATGCATGGCCTTCTCTTTACAAAAAATAGGTATAGCTACACACAAAATTGATCTGTTCAACATCAAGCAATGGAGGATCTTGTGGATTGAGTTCATTTTAAAAATTTATCCCTGCATTTCACTTGCTCCCCTTGGTGTTTTTTCGTTATAACTAATCATGCTTTGGCAGCCACGAACCATAAACTAATCATGCTTGGGTAGCCTTCCCTTTTTAGTGTACTTATTAGAGGTAATGATCAGACTCTTGTGTGCTGTGAAAGGCCGGTACATTAGTTACCCATTAATTAATTACTGTATAGTATTATAGATGAAGGTACCACTATGTATAGCTGGCTAGTATTTCTCTAATATGCACACTGCTCCGGTAAAGCTAAAGAATGAAATAAAATATCGAGTTTTTTCTGATACAGAACCGGAGTAGAGGTTGCCATTCTGTTGAACGAAAACCTAAAGGTGGAAGCTAAAATGTGTTTTTTCTGATATAAAACTGTCATTCTGTTCAACGAAAACTTAATGTGGTTTACTGATCAATACTGATAGTTTACAGTTACATGGAGAATTTTGTGAAATTTTCTTGAAAAAAGAAGAAAATCTAGTACGGATCTCCTACCTTCTGCCCAAGGAGAAGGGGTTTGTAGACCTAGTTCAAGAGATATGCTGGTAAGCTGTCCCCCAGAAAGCATATGGAAAATGGCATCATGCATGATCCCCATGCATCAACGCATGCCGTTCCTAGTTACTGGACCCCTGTCCCCTCAAAACAAAATCATGGGATTTCACAACACCGGCACCCCTTTTGGATGGCAAAAACAGATCCTTAAACCTCTCCTGTTGAGTTGCCTCCTGGATATGTGAACATGGATCATTTTTCTTTGGGACATATGGACCCATATGTCTACCCCCCTCGCTCTCTAGCCTGATTGCATTGGGATCTTAGCATGCATGCCTTCTTAATTGGTTCCTTAAAAAGAGCCATGCCATGTACTCATGCTGCTCATCCCTTGCTCCGTTGGCGAATTGTCTCATTTCTCTGGCATCACGGCCAGTTGAGTGAAGAGGAAGGGCCAAAAAGGTGTAGTTCTCCCTAAACAATAACTAGTCACACTAAAGAACTTTCTGAATAGAAAGAGAGTTATAGTTTAGTAGATCATGCTAATTAATTTGAGGTATAGTCGTATAGAGCATATGATGGGAAATCGAAAACACATACTAAAGTATTGTAGTTGTCCTAGATTAAATTTCAGTGTGTTAAACTTATCCTTAATTAACCATGATTTCTTTCATATCTTTGACTCTCCTCTAATATTTGCGAGTAATCCTTACTAGCAAATCTAATGTTGTTTTCTTTTGCGGGGAAAGCATATCTAATGTTTGACCATCTTTTTTTTTGCGTGTGGTTATAACAGTAATTGTAGAATATTTTCTAACCTGGAGTAATCCTTACTAGCAAATCTAGTAATTGGGAATATGTTCAGTTTATATTTTTTATACTTTCACAAATCTATGTTCTCAATATTCAGTCATCACTTTAGTATTTGAATTTGTAGCATGACTCATGATGATAAGTCATCACCATCCCTTCAGAGACGAGTTATCGGTATCGTATCTCTCAATCATGAGTCAAATTTTATATTGACACCCAAAATATAAAGGGGAGAACATCAGAACAGAATCAGTGTTGATTGCGGTCTTTCGTCGGGATCACTTTTAGTACATCAGCAGCCTAGCTTTTTAACCTAACCATAACTGAATACTACCTGAATGCCATCTTGTTCCTTTATATTTGTTCATTTTGTCCAAATATGTCAGTCTAATGCATTACCTAATGCTTCAGCCCGGTGCACTAGACATCATTTCATCCTGTGCATTCATCTTGTTGCATAACGGCCGTATGCATCGCCCAGATGCAGAGGCCGGGGGTCGTCCTCCTTTTCTAAAAAATTCATCTTGGTGCATCAGTAAACATCACCTATATGTTTATCTTCTTCTGTATGTACATATATTCCACTCATTCAGTGACTATTAGTTAGGTATGTGACATAGAAATGGTAATAGTGGACACTTCATCAAAAGAATCATGATGTTTGGATTTAGCAGACATTTCATAAATGTGTCTGACTATCCTTTCACTGTTCACATTCATTGATTTTCTCCTAAATAATTTGTTTGAATCATTGAAATTTCACTGGAACCTCATGGAAATTAACCGTTTTCTACTGAAGTTCCAGCATTCCAAATGGATCATTGTTTGTTTATTCATATTACTTGTTAATGCCTAGTAGATATACCCCCTCTACAATGTGCATTTTCGACCGTTATATATCGTATGAATATGTTAATATTGAACTCTATATTCATGATGTTATGAAAATTATTTTTTCATGAGACTTATCACTTGACCAATATCCAAACAGTTAATTGCATATTGATAGGTGCCAATGTTAAAGAAGTTTTCAGTTAAGCTTGACGTTATACGTGCGCTTCTAAAGGATGAATTGCTACAAATTAATTTTGCAGGCAGAAGTGCAGAATTTTGTTGGGTTCCCGAGCCATTCTTACTGGCAAGAGAAGAGAACCATGCATGCATGATCAGTTCATACCTGGTTAATATTGAAGCCCAAAGTTAACAAGGCTCCATCGACCGTTTGTGCATACGCTGGCCAAGCTAGGCACTGATGTTGTCAACACCTTCGTAATTAAGAGGAGCCAATTCTTAATTTGGTTCTTGTTGGTACTATGGGATTGAATCATAGATTGCATCGATTAGGGAATTGGTTCAATAGCTCATGGTTTTGGTCTGGGCTGTATATTTTTATAGTAGCATGTCAGACAATAGTCAGTTGCTAAGACTGCAACAGATTACAAGATGCCAACTTGTACAACAAGATTGTTAGCGTAATTCGGTAGGATTATAACAGTCTAACTAACTCTAACTAGTTTTACAGCCCCCCTTCACTTACAGCTTTACATAAACTAAGTTGAGATTGAACCTTTCTTTTTTCCGGAAAAGTTGAGATTGAACCTTAATCTGTTAAGACACATCAACCGGCAATGCCTTGATGAATATATCTGCCCACTGGTCCTTGGATGGAGTGAATTGTATTTCCAACGCCTTCTTAGCAACACACTCATTTAAAAAATGGAAATCAACCTGCTTAGTCCTTGCATGGAATACCGGATTAGCCGACAAGTACATAGTTATTGACATTATCACACCATAAAGTTGGAGCTATTTCTTAGGGAAAAAGATGACGTTCATTCAATAATAACATAGTTTTGAGTACAATCTTCATCAATTAGCCACAGATTGGGGAGGGAAATCAGTATCCCATAGCATCTCCACCTTCATAATCCAAAGTGCAGGGGATAGTATCCCATAGCATGTCCACCGTGATAACCAAAAGTGTAGGGAATCGCAATAGAGAAAGTATTTTTTAACCCTAATTTATATTTGACACTATGGGAGCCAAAGAATATTTTTAGGATTTAGCAGCTGAGCTGTCTGTTTAGCCACACCAAAAACAACACTTGCTCGAGAAAATTTATTAGTTGGCAGTGCAATGAAGTGATTGTTGTATGATTTGCAAAAAAGTAAATAAAAACAGCAATATTCATCCGTTGCCAAGTACAAAGTGTCTTAAAGAGAGCAACAATTATGAAAATGTAGGCATGACATGGATAAAAGGGATGCTGCATGGATGAAATTAATCATATAATAGTATAAACCACATGGAACAATTTTCCTAGCTCATATTCTTTCATCATATAGGCATGTATTTTGAATATAGTTATACGTGTCTGCAATAAAAACTTGCACCAATATATTTTGTCTTACCCTCTCGTGTCAGCGGCATCACAATTGGAATTAAGAGTAATTAAGATGCTTCCTTTACAAAGCAGCCGAAACAAAGCATTAACACTTGATAAATACGTGTAATGCTAAAAATAATAGCCATTCACATTGATATTGATATCCCGACCATGTCAGCTCGGGGTCTCCCGTACAAAACTACAACAGGTGCATACAACTTGCATGTATGATCCAAACAAAACCACAACAGGTGCATACAACTTGCATGTATGATCCAAACACATATATATTCATGAAAAC